TTTGAGCATATTTCAATAATATCGTTATTCGTATTATTGACTTTTATCCAAAATGTTATGGCAATAGCTAAAAATTACGTCATAATACTTGTGCACTATTCAGATCACTATGAAATCGCATCTCGATTGATGCTTGAGAACACCCTCACTATGATAAGAAAAGATGGTCTTGACTATTTTTTTTTAATCGTAATAATGAACTCACTTGATCAACTAAACTATTTATTTTTTGCTAATTAAAAATTGAGTTCTGATCTAAAAATTTAGATACTTGAGAGCAAATAAATAGTAAACTAGTATTTTATGGGTATATATGTATTAATAACCCAGTTACACATAGGTTCATTTCCATACTAAAGGCACGGGATTTAACTGGGTTATTATATATCTTATTGCACAGTGTCTGACGTAACAATCCCGTGCTAATAAGTAAATGACAAAAGTGGTTATTACATAAGACCTATTTAATAAAGTATAGCTATACTTGCTAAGGGATTTGGGATTACAAATCCGGACAAATAGGACTGTCTACCTATACTTAAAAATCCTGTGTGGCAAAACTGGACAAATTTTAATCTCAAATCTCAGACTTTAAACTTTATCTCGATTTCCAAATCTATCCCAAATTTCAAATCCTATTCCAAATCTCAAAACCTTTATTTATTGCAACAGCTATTGCAACTAGTGTTGCAGGTAAAACTAATTAGTTTTACCAGTTGAAACAGGTGTAACTTAATAGCCTTATTGGTGAAACTGGTGATATTGGTGAAACTGACGAAATTGGTGTTACAAAATTACGTTTTTGAACAGTTTTTGAACCAACTACGTATGCAATAGGGTTAAAATTCATGCAAAGCAGACTGCTTAAGTGTATGTTCTGAAACTGGTGAAGTTGGTGAAGCAGGTAAAGTTGGTAAAACTGGTGATATTGGTGAAACTAGTGATGTTGGTGAAGTGATGTTGGTGAAGCCGGTGATATTGGTGAAGCCAGTGATGTTGGTGAAACTGGCAATATTGGTGAAATCGGTGATGTTGGTGAAATTGGTAAGATATTGGTAAAACTGGTAGTATTGGTGAAATTGGTAAGATATTGGTAAAACTGGTAGTATTGGTGAAATAGGTAAATATTGGTAAAGGTATTTTTATTCTTATTAAACTAAGATTTAAAAGCCATACCGAAAATGTATTAATGTTAATTATAAATGAATATGATTGGATGATGATTAGGCATAAATTGTAATCGGTGTAGCACAGTCACTAAATTTCTAAATTCTATGAAGGTTCATAGATAGAATAGATAAAAAAACCAGTAATATAGTATAGATTGATGAAATCAAAGAATGCAATAGTAAAAAAAAGTATATAGATAGTTTTAATGAATTTATTTTATATATATTAAAAAGTATATAAGCAACTCGAATTTACCTTCAATAAAATTAATTCAGTTGAGTTCAATATTTCAAAATCATTGTGTAGAAGTTGGTTCTCTATTAGTTGTCCCTTGTAATAAAATCATCTTTGTTGTCTTTTTCTTGTATTTGTAATATTTGACTTTGCATCTTAGTAAAAATAAAAAGGGAATTATTATAGTTAAGAACCCTTATACAGTATATATTGTCTCACAAGTTTGATTAGACACTTGATTTCATTATTATTACACTTTTATAGTGATCATCGAAGTTGTCTGTAACTTCGCAAACCCACAGGACCATTTTATCACATGATATCATGAGCTTAGTTCATGATTGCGATCCAATATTATAGTCCCGCCGCACTAAGAAAGTATGGTAGTACTACAGTATTAGTAACTCAAGGAAAGAGAATCAGTATGATCACAAACAAGATACTTATCTGAAGCATCAACTGCTAATCTTGTGATCCTAAATTAGGGCCTCATGATGTAGTCTCAGTGTTGTACATGGACAGTGTCCATGCCTGTTCATGGACATATGGACATATGGTCCATGTCCATGGACACTCTATAGTTTTATTATGTCCATTGACAGTCCATGCCCATGTCCATGGACAGTCTATGTCCATGTCCATGTACATGTACATCACTGTGTAGTCTAGAGCTCTATTTGACTCTAATTACTCAGGGGTAATGTTTCAGGCGAAATTCAAGATGAAACTCCAATGAAATCCAATACTTCCGATATTTCCGAAATTCAAATATTATAAGATGAGTGACGCGATTTGTTAACTATCCTATCCAACGGACTATTTATGCCAACGATTTATGTCAATTTGAATAGTTATTTCAAATACTGTTAAACTTCTCAAGCCCGATTCTGTTAAAGGTGATAACCTGTCAAATTTCATAAAAATTAGTCCATAAATATGAATCCAATAGTTTATAATGTTTCAAAATTTAATAACCCTCAATATTAATACAAAATCTGTCCACCACGCATATCAGTTTTGAGAGGTTTAATAATATGTATCTTTTAATGAAATGTTCAATTCTTTAATGGGATACATTGTGATCTTAGTTATTTATGTATATTCAAAGTGCACTAATGATCTATACGCATATTCACAATTTAAATACTGTTAAACCTTCCAAAACCGATATGCATGGTGGACAGATATTACATGTATTATAAATTTGCAATTTATTAAAATTTAATCTATCATCATATAAAGCACAAGAAAATCGGGACAGGTTAACTCTGATTTCCGAATTATTTTCTAAAACTGAGGATTTGTCTTTTGTTAAATGAGTGCTGCAAAGCAAAAATGTGTAATTTCAATTTTGCCGGCTCCACTTCCTAATCCGACTCCTGATGAATTTAAATTAGGCACAACCGTTATATGGTGTGTTAAAATTACATTTTATCTATAAATTACAGATTTTCACTTTGACAAAAAGTAAAAAAAAACCATTAACCGGTTAAGCATAACTTACTTCGGGTTAGACATCAAAATCACGGTCACGGGTTGGCGGGTCGAATCTCTAATTTAGAGAATCAGACTGTGTTAGCAATGTTTAGCTCGATGATATTTGAAATTTCGAAAATTTTTTTAAAACTCGAAAAAGTAAAAAATCCCGTTATGTTACGTTATCATTGCATTATCATAAAATCTTGAAGTTAAGCGCTATTTTAAGCCACGGCCCAAATTAAGATTGATTCGGGCCATGATAAAATACTGTAAATATATTTTATTTAAATATTTAATATATAAGTTATATATTTCATTGTTTTATTCATTTAAAAAAATGTGAGTGCCTGATTTAATTAACTGTCATATTATCGTGGTTAAAATTTCTCTTTTAAGTTCTTATATTAAAGATACCGTGGTTTATACATTAACCGTTGTTCAAAAAAAAAGGGCTATAAAAAAGTCATCACATATAATGATTTTTTATCTCTTGCACATTTTATTCAAAAAAGTCCGTTTTCAACACCGTTAGTGAATTAATTATTTTTAAAATTACCAAAATTATATTTGACCAATTCTGAGATATACTTTAAAGAAACAAAAATTAAATAAATTAAACTTTGAATTGTTTTAGGAGCCTTATTCTATTAAAATTCATAAAAATCCAAATTTTAATTTCTAGTAACTAAGATGCTTCAGCTATTGCTAAAACTAGTATTTATTCTAGTGAGATATTTCGATTATTGCTAAAACTAGTACACAACTAGATACATATTAATGATTTAATTTTCTGGTTTTAGCTAAAACATAAGTGGTCATTATAACGAAAATCATTTTATCTATTATGATTTTTGCTTTTTGGAGTCCACCATGGTTTACGAACATATTTGTATTTATAATGAATGGGTTTGGTGATTTTAATCTCATCCTCGCTAAAAATATCTTCAAATTCATGATGTGTTGTCTCTAAACTGTCTATAATCTCGCATGTTTTTTTGTACATATCTTACACGATGTGTAAAACAATTAACAATACAATTTTTTGATGTCAAAAATAAAATCATAAACTCACCATAACTAATTTTATGATATTAATAGAAGTTTTTAGTTTTCTGATATCCCTAAGTTTCGTAGGTAACTCAAATTTAGACCCTGGAAAAACAATGTAAAATCTTTCGACCAGATTCTCAATCAATAGTTGTCCACTTGTAGCAAAAAAGGCACGCAAATGTCCCCAACTTGTTCATCCCCGAGATTATATTCTAACAACCCATTCAAGATTGATTGGTTTATTCTACTAGAACGACACCTATCGCCAATGATTTTTGCTGCTGTAATTTTAGCAGAGAATTCCCATTCTCCAACATTAACACCCAACATTGATAGGAAGCGAACATCACACCTATGACCATTGATATAGTCCGTACTTAGTCAATGGGCAAAACGATTCACCCCTTGAATGTATAAATTTAATTAAAAATGCCATTATGCATTGCAAGCAAACAATACTTATACTTATACCAACCATCTCACATATGTTTTGAGATCATCATTCAGTTCCTCAACAATATATCCGCAAGTTTTTAAAATTACATCAACTTCCGTGTGTGCATTGTTCGAGGCAAAATTCAAGATATCATTTTTATTCTTACATTTGCGAATGCTTTATATATTGAATGACAATAATTAATAATAATAATTAGGCTAAAAAAAATAATAACCCGAAAATAAGCACCACACCCTCTACCCTACTTTTTAGACCTCAGATTAGCGGAAATAGCAATAAAGTCTTTACTCAAGTTATTCCCGTTAATCTGAGATTTAAAAAAATAAGGCAGAGGGTGTGGTGCTTATTTTCGGGATTTTACGGTAATAAAAAAGAATTAATCAAATGACTTACAAGTCTCCATAAATTTTGCTAAGTTTATATAAATAACTGTTTTCTTCCGATTTAAAATGAATCTCTGAACAATATTTTTTTGCCTGATTTACTTCCCCTTTAAGTACCATCTAAAAGACAAAGAACTTATCTACATGAAGATAAAGTTAAATTTGTAAAAAATAAATAAGATCTAAAACTCTACCTCTTCGACTTGCAAAACAAATGTACTCTCTTCTAATGCCAGTTCAGGAATTCGTAACATAGACTCATAATTTTTCATCATAAATCTCTTGTCATCGGTGGAAAACCAACTTTTCATATGTGCGGATAAGTCAATTATGTTTGATGCTCCGTAACGCAATATGGCTTTTTCAATCATAGTTAATTTCTTATTTTTAATTGCACTGGCATTCTCGGATATTTTTTCAAAATATATGTCCGTGACATTTCGGCCAGATGGCAACATCCATATTCTTGGATCATTAAAAGCAGAATCAATTGATTCTTCTGAAGGTATACCTTCATCGTCATCTTCATTAATTCCTTGAGAAGAATCATTCTCTTCATCTGACGGTACTAAATTTAAAGGCGCTGGCCTTTCGATTTTGTTGCCATTAGGGAGCACATTCCCCTAAAAAAAACTTAATTTTAATTTTTTTTTAAAAAAAGATTAAGATAAAATTTAAATTATGTCCTAACCTTACTACTTAATGATTGATTTTTTTGCCCTTCATAATAACGAATGACTCTTTCTTCGTCGTCCTGAAAGATTAAATTGTAAAAAAAAAAAAAGCTTAGTTATTTTGATGCTTAATTTCTAGCTAAAGCGACAATTATTTTAAGAATTTACTGAAAAAAACGGATTAGCTGCATCCTTTTTCTTAGGACCCGGCAAAGCAAAACTGTCTTTTATTACTTGCTCATCACTACTCATGTTCATTTGACCAAGTAATGTTGCAGGTGCAACTGTAGATTTAGTTGATAACACATTTTTTCCTTCAGCTGATTCAGTTTCTCTCTCTTTATCCTAAACATTAAGATGATTAATGCTTAAATTTCAATTAGCTATTGTTGAGATCATATTAAAAATTTACCGAAAGAAAAGAATTAGCCGTATCCTTTCCTTTAACAAAACTTGAAGAGTTAAAACCCTCTTCCATAGCTTAATCATCATTCCTATTTATATTTTGATCATCATTACTTTTTAATGGTTGGTCGGGTACAACTGTAGGTTCCGATAAACATTCCTTGCTTAATTCTTCAGTTAATAACACATTTGCTCCTTCAGCTGATTCAGTTTCTCCCTCTTCATCCTAAACATTAAGATGATTAATGCTTAAATTTCAATTGGTTATCGTCAAGATCATATTAAAAATTTACCGAAAGAAAAGAATTAGCCGTATCCTTTCCTTCAACAAAACTTGAAGAATTACAACCCTCTTCCATAGCTTGATCATCATTCCTATTTATGTTTTGATCATCATTACTTTTTAATGTTTGGTCAGGTACAACTGTAGGTTCCGATAAACGTTCCTTGCTTAATTCTTCAGTTAATTTTGTTTGGAAATCTAATACTTGGTTGCTTGCGTTTTGCAAAGTCTCAAGTTTATGTTTTTCTGCATTAACAAACTAAAAGTTATACCTCCACAACTAAATATGCTGGTGAAATCTTTATTCGCAAAAGGTACTTGGTAGACTTACTATTATCCAATCCGCATGTAATTCGTTACGAGCTTCTTTTAGTTTGATTTTCTGCCGTTTTCTTTTTACGTGAAGACTAATATAAATGAATCGTCATGCAAATTGAATAAAACTTAAAATATGCAAAGAAACATACTGCGTTGACATTTATAATCTACAATATGACAAAGAATAAGGAGTTAATAAATGAATTAACAGTTATTTTGCAGTGCTCATGAGATTTGATTGATTGCTGTGTACACGTTAGAGTAGTCAGAAGTGATACTCAGAGTTCCGTTCAACACAAAAAATGTGGAAGAGT